TCAAAGGCCAAAGTGGAAATAAGGGTGGGTTAAACAGCCGTTTTCATTGATTTCCTCATTAAAATTTATGGTTGATCTTATTAAAGAATAAGGTATAGTTAGTTGGGAATATGCATGTTTGGATCACATTGCATATAATTTTCATGCTACACATCCACTTTTGATTTATGCCATTTGATTTTATTAATATACGTGATCATTGAGGGTTTAGTTATGATATTTGTAAAGAATATCGTTTTGATATTATATTGATATAATCAATGAACGAGATTGTTTGGAGATACTTTTGAATATGATAGAAAAAGTTTTGACGTCATAAGGTTATACACATTTATTAGGTAACATATGTGGTCTAAGTGGAGATTGTTGAAAAAAATTTAATTTATCATGTAAGTCTACAGGGGCGGACCCAGGCAGTTCAAACTGTGGGGTCAAAATTATTTTTTTTTCGAACAACGTATCATGAACAAAAATGAAAAATCGGTTGTTTGTTGTTCATGTTCGGTGTTTGCACTTTGGGAAAAAATTAGTGAATTATACGATATATCTATGGACTAAATAATGGATATGGATCAAGTGATATGGATATAGATATAGGATATGGACATTTGGAGGAAAAAAATAAATTTTTCAGAAAAAAAAAAAAAAAAAAAAATCCAAAAATCTGTGGGGTCATTTGACCCCACATGACCCCATGTGGGTCCGCCCCTGTAAGTCTACATATGTAAATACTTGTGTATAAGAGATTCTTAGAGTTAAGTCCAAAATTAAAATGATCTAATAAAGAATTAAAAGTGCAGAGCGGATTATAAGTGTAGAAATCAGATTCCTTTAGAATTATATTTCACGATATGTAAAATCATAGTCCCTAATTCATATGTAATTTTTCATTTTTGTGTCATTCTATCAATACAAGAATACAAGAGAAAACATATTGAAAAATAAGATCCAAAATTCACAATCTGATTCAAGAAGAATGAATTCAAGAATCAAGACTATAGATCAATAAGTAAAATCAAGAAAAAGAATTGAAGAATCAAATGAGGCCAAATTTAATATTGAAAGTGAAGAATCCAAACATGAAGATATTGTAGTAAATCTTCAAGATTCAAAATTCGGAATCAAGATCCAATAATAAATAATCATTCCTAATGGATTAAGGTATATTATGTATTTAATAATTTTTTGGTAGCTTGATATGGAGAATCTCGACAATAAATGAATTTAAATTTTCAAGTGGTAAAATTTCAAGCTTTATTAAGTTTCGATACAATGTGCATGATTTTATATCTAAGACTGGAATTTATTCGTAAAATTTTTCCATTTTTAGCAGAGTTAGTCTAATAAATTTGATCAGTACAGGAAGAGTCGCCGTTATGCAGTAAAGACAGATGATATTAGAATATATGGGCATCAGCCAGCTCAGCTCCAGTTACTTTGGGCACCAATTTTAGTTAGTTATGTACAGCTGTCAAGTTAGTTGTTTGTTAGAATCAGTTTAGCTAAATCTATTTAATCACCATTGTATTGATAATTCGATTCATTGAATGAGAATATTTTTCCATTTTCCAAATTCATCCTTTCTTCAATATGGTATCAGAGCATTAACTTATGCTTCCTTCTTGCAGTTTCTAATTGCAAAATCGATCGGCAATGGCTACAGAAAATATGGATCTTTCTGTTCATAATTCTTCTTCGTCATCATCAGCCAACAGTTTCGCAGTTGATGTTGGATTGAATCAGTATTTTCTCCCTGGATATAAGCCTAAGCAGGGAACTGGAGAAACGAACAATCAGGTAAGTTTAAGAAATCAAGCTAATTGTGTCGTAACGGGTCCGGTTTCTGAACCAATTCATACAATAGATCAAACATAAAATGAGGTTGGAAACTTTTTGCAGACCTTAAATCCCACTCAATATCAATGCTTGATGAATATGCTGAACACTCATCTCACTGCTGCTAAGATTGAAACACGACAGGCATCTAGGTCTGATCATATGACAGGTACATGTCTCTATTTATTTCAATCAAACGATCAGTTCACCTACAATTTGGGTGATTGATTCCGGAGTGACAAGCCATATTTGTTCAAACCAATATGCGTTTAACACTTTGAGACAAATTCAAAATACATTTGTTACTTTGCCTAATCGTGACAAAATCCCTGATTCAATTTATTGGAAATGTGAAGATATCGTCTGAATTGATTCTTAAGGATGTATTGTTTGTGCCTCAATTCAAATTGAACTTGCTGTCAGTAAGTGCTTTAACAAGAAAGTCTTCATTAAGTGTCAGTTTTCTCACTGATAGTATTCAATTCCTGCCAACATTGAAGACGATTGGCAAGGGTAAAAGAGCTGGAGACCTCTATATAATTGATGTATGTTCCTTTAGTTCAATGAAAAATAATGTTGCTAGTTCAAATAACTCCTGTAATTCTACTAACTCTTTTCCTTCTGCTTTAATTGGATCAACTCCTGTTATGAGCTCTTGTAATTCATCAGCCAATAATGTAACTGGCCATGTTTGGCACCATAGACTTGGACATTTGTCCTTCAAGAAATTAGATATGTTGAAAATTTTGTTGAGATTTGATGACAGGAAGAAAGAATCTTCTATTCCTTGCCATGTATGCCCCTTAGCTAAACAAAGAAGGCTTTCATTTGTCTCCAACAACCATTTATCTCCTATTGCCTTTGATCTCATTCACTGCGATTGGAGACCTTACGATGTGGCCACACATGCCGGTTATAGATATTTTCTGACATTGGTTGACGATTGTACTAGATTCACTTGGGTATATTTGATGAGGCACAAATTTGATGCCACCTCTACCATTCCCAGATTATTTTCACTCATAGAAACACAGTTCAACAAAGTGATAAAGTGTTTCAGATCAAACAATGATAAAGTGTTGGGATTTTTCACCCAATATCCGAATTCTGTCGTCAATTCTCACGCACAACAGGAATAAAAATCACGCAGAAAATTAAAGAATACATGAATTGTTCACCCAGTTCGGCCAAGCCTATTCTGGGGGGCTCAGAGGCAAAAGTTCCAAACCCGTCACTATGCAAGAACCTCACAAGAAAGAGCAACAGTTTGTTTACAAGGTTCGGATCTCAACTCACACACAATCAGATCATCGATCCAACAAAAGGATCTCACAATACTCCACCAAATCGAAACCTGACCTAGACCAAAAATAGTATCTGACTTCACAGTTTTATATCTATCGAAACAAGGCAAAAAATTGCTCAAATACAACACCAAACATCGGCTATTACTCGCTGAAAAACAGACCAGTTTTTCGGCCAAAATACCACCGGACCATAGACCACAAAACAGCCGAAATACTACAGTTGATACCCCATCAACACCGGTCAAAATTTCATATTTAATACAAGAGAAAAACTCCTTGTGAAATCACCAAGAGAGACCCTTCGAGAGAAAGAGACGAGAGGAAGAGAAAATGAAAAAATCTGCCTCCTTGAAAAAGCCGTCCACCATGTTTTAATTAAAAGGGGATCTAATTTCAACCATTGATTAAAATCAATGGCCCATGCTTTTTCCAAAGAAAAACAAATCCATGTGAAAACTAATTTGTCAATAGGAAATTGCCATGTGGCCAACAAGTTGTAAAAACATTTTGGCACCTTTAAAAACGTGTTTTGGTTTTGAAAATTTCACGAGTTTTTTTAATGCTAAAGGAGTAATTCACCAGTACTCTTGTGTGGAAAGACCAAAACAGAATTCTGTGGTAGAGAGGAAACATCAACACCTTCTCAATGTGGCATGAGCACTATTCTTTCAGTCAAGAGTGCCTATTCAATTATGGGGCGATTGTGTCCTCACTGCTTCCTTTCTAATCAATAGAACTCCCTCTCCAATCATCAGAAATGTGACTCCATTCTCTTCGCTATATCGAACTTCATTTGATTACAAGTTTACAACTCGCTCAGGGTGTTTGGTAGCCTTTGCTTTGCATCTACACTCCCCTTTCATAGAAACAAATTCTATCATCGAGCCGAAGCCCATGTCTTCCTTGGTTACCCTCTAAATATCAAATGGTATAAACTTTATGATATCTCCTCCAAATCATTTCTTACTTCCTAGGATGTGGTCTTCCATGAAGAATATTTCCCTTTCCATTCTATAACTCCTACATCAGACTTGATAGATCCCTCCCCCAATACTGTATTACCACACATTATATCTGATCAATACATCCATCATTCCATCCCAGATTGATTCAATTCTGCCAGTAATGATAACTCGATTGAACATAACAATTCAGCTGCCATCGAACTATCTCCCACTTCCTCCTGTGATTTTAGTCAAAGTCCTTATTGCAATCAATCTCCATACTTTGTACTTAGAAAGACAACTAGGGCGAGTAAACCTCTATCTTACCTTCGTGAATTTCACTGTAATCTCCTTGCAAATCAGTCACCTCCTGATAACAAATTAGTTTGTCCTTTGTCTAATTGTCTCTCATATAAGTCCTTTACTCATCCACACAAAACTTTTCTTCTCAAGGTTTCTTCAAATGTTAAACCACAGTTTTATCACCAGGCAGTTGCATCTGACCATTGGAGGGAAGCAATGGCAGTTGAATTGATAGCCATGGAATCAAACAACAATTGGACCATAACCAGATTGCCCAAGGAAAAGCACTCAATTGGCCGTAGATGGGTATATAAGGTCAAATATGGACCTGATGGAAGGATAGACAGGTACAAAGCACATTTGGTAGCCAAAGATTATACCCAGCAAGAAGAAGTGGATTTTCTCAACGCTTTTTCCCCTGTTGCTAAATTGGTTCATGTCAAGATATTGCTTATTGTTGCAGCTATTAATAAATGGCATCTAGTTCAATTGTATGTAAATAATGCTTTTTTGAATGGGGATCTTTTTGAAGAGATTTGTAAGGATCTCCCTTTGGGGTATTCAAATATATCTGTTGATGTCATCAAAGAGGGCAAACCAGTCTGCAGGCTCCACAAATCCATCTATGGTCTTTGGCAAGCCTGGAGACAATGATTTTCCAAGTTTTCTCATGCTCTCATTGCCCACTGTTTTTGTCAATACAAGTCTAATTATTCCCCATTTACAAAGGGTTCAGGCTCCTCATTTATTGCCTTGCTGGTCTATGTCGACGACATTATCGGATCATAGTGTCATTGCCTCTTTAAAATAATTTCTACACGGTCAGTTCAAGATTAAAGACTTGGGAAAATTAAAGTACTTTCTTGGGTTGGAAATAGCAAGGTCACATAAAGGGATATGTTTATCCCAGAGAAATTATACATTACAGTTGCTAGAAGACACTGGGTTTCTAGCCTGCAAACTAGCTCTTTTGCTTATGGATCCTAAGATTTGTTTAAATTCAGTTGATGGTGATATGTTGTCTAATACGGATGCTTCATCCTATCGAAGACTTGTTGGCCGCTTGCTCTACTTAACTATTTCACGGCCAGACATCACTTTTGCAGTTCAAACTTAGCCAGTTTGTTTCCAAACCTCGTTAATCACACCTTACTGTAGCTCATCCTCTCTTACAGTTCCTTAAGTCAGCTCCAAGCCAAGGTTTGTTCTTTTCAGCCTCTTCCTCACTACAATTACGTGCATTTGCTATTGCGGACTGGGGTTTATGTCCTGATTCAAGAAAATCTATCATAGGCCTATGCGTATTTCTTCGTGACTCTCATTTCATGGAAAGCTAAGAAGCAATAGATTGTTTCTAGATCATCTGTGAAGGCAGAATATCGAGCATTAGCAGCCACTGCTAGTGAGTTAACATGAATACATCAGTTGCTTCTTGATTTGCAAGCTTCTTCTTCATCTCCGACTTTGATTTTTTTTTTTGTAATAATCAAGCTGCAATCCACATTGTAGCAATCCTATTTTTCATGAACGAACAAAACACATCGAGATTGATTGTCGTTTTGTTCGTGATAAGGTTGCTAATGGCTTCGTCAAATGATTGCCGGTTTGATCTCAACTCCAGTCGGCGGATATATTTTCACCAAAACTTTGCTTGCTACTCTCTTCTTTCCTCTACTCTCCAAGATCGCCATCATCAATCTCCATAGTCCATCTTGAGAGGGGCCATATTAGAATATATGGGCATCAACTAGCTCAGCTCCAGTTACTTTGGGCGCCAATTTTAGTTAGTTATGTACAGCTGTTAAGTTAGTTAGTTGTTTGTTAGAATTAGTTTAGCCAAATTTATTTAATCACCATTGTACTGATAATCGATTCCTTGAATGAGAATATTTTTTCATTTTCCAAATTCCTCCTTTCTTCAATGGATGGGGGCTTGTCTCTCTCCACAAAAGATCAATAAAAAAGTAAAGGGGGAAAAAAAGGCAACTCTTTTTTATATTTTTTGTTAGTTTATAATTCGATTATTTGCCAAAACATGCCGGCCAGGTACCTGTTTCTGTTAAACAACAAATGTAGCAGCCAGCAAGTTTTTTTATT